GGGGCGCCAGCAACCCCCTGCCAGGCCACACCCCCGCCTGCCTGGCCCTCTCGCTCCTTTCTCGGCCCAGGCCTGCTCCAGGTGGCTCCAGGCGTCCCTCTGGGCCTCCTCCGCCTGGGGGTGCGACTGACCTGAGCCCCCTGGCTTTGCCCACAGCCCCTCAGCCCCGCTGAGCTCCCACCCCCCCCACCCCCTCCACCCCCGTGCCCCCAGGGCTCAGGCCCTTTCAGGAAACGGAAACTGAAAATGAGGGATAGGAGCAATAGCACAGTGGGTAGGGCGTTTGCCTTGCACTGCGATCCGGGTTCGATTCCTCTGCCCCTCTCGGAGATGCCGGCAAGCTACTAACAGTATCTCGCCTGCAGGGCGATACTAAGAGTACTAAGATACTAAGAGTACTAAGATATTAAGATACTAAGAGTATCTCGCCTGGCAAACTCCCCGTGGTGTATTCGATATGCCAAACACAGTAACAACAAGTCTCACAATGGAGACGGTACTGGTGCCCGCTCAAGCAAATCGATGAACAACGGGAGGACAGTGCTACAGTGTCCTGGGAGGGTGTGAGGAGAGTCGGGGAGTGTGTGTGTGTGTGTGTGTGGTGAGGGGAGGGGTGTGTGTGTGTGTGTGTGCATGCACACTGTCAATACATTTCTGTTTTCTTCAGTGGCTTTTTATGGTGTGTGGGGTGGTGGGGTACACCCGGCAGGGCTCAGGGCTTACTCCTGGCTCTGGGTACAGGGATCCGAACTCCTGGCGGGACCATATGGGGTACTGGGTTCGGACCTAGGCCAGCCATGTGCAAGGCAGTGCTCCATCTGCTCTGCTATCCCCCCACCCCCCTCTCCACAGTGACTTTGCCTCCCACTCTTGGTCCCAGCAGAGCCCAAGCTAATGAGCCTGAGCCCTTTCTCCCCCAGCATCTGGGCCCCTGTGCTCCCAGATCCCTTTTTTTTTTTTGGCTTTTTGGGTCACACCTGGTGATGCACAGGGGTTACTCCTGGCTCTGCACTCAGGAATTACTCCTGGCAATGCTCAGGGGACCATATGGGATGCTGGGAATCGAACCTGGGTTGGCCGCGTGCAAGGCAAACGCCCTACCCACTGTGCTATTGCTCCAGCCCCCAGATCTTTTGTGAAGCTTCCCACTAGGGCCAACACACGGGGCAAGTGGCTCAGACCAAAGGTGGAGGGACCTTGAGCTGACCCCCCAGGAAGTTAAGCTGATGGGAGGAGCTGGGGTTCATCATCCATCGTGTTATGCTTCCTGCCAGCTTCTGGCCTGCCCCCCTCACCAGGAGGTTGCCCTGCCCACAGTAAACCTTCTTTGCAAAGGCTTCTGGGAGTCTTTCTGGCTGTGTGTGGGGTGGTCTCCCCACTCCTCTCTGTAAAGGTTAGGCCCCCCCAATGTCTCATTTCTCTAGGCCACTGCTTTCTTAGTTTGGGGCCTACATCATTCTTGCCCCCAGGGCTCATGGAAACAGGTGACTGGGCTCTCGCCCTGGAGTTTCTCACCCAGGAAGTTTGGAAACACCTTGATAACTTATTACTTGAACAAGTTCCCGGGTGGTGCCAATTGGGCCCACTATGGACCACAGGAAGAAAGAACTCAGCAGGTCAGGGTGGTCAACCTCTTCTACATGCCGAAGAAAGGCCAGGCCGTTGCTCCTGGGAGCCAGCCTGGGAACCTGTGGGAGTTTTCTGCTAAAAGCTCTTTGCGGGGCCAAGCGTGGGATTCAGCGGTAAAACACATGCTCCCAGGTGTAAGGGCTTGGAGTCGACCCCCAGCACCGGATAAAAGTGTCTTGGTAATAGCTCATGAGAATGATGTGATTTATTTGTTTGCTTCTTATTTGCCATACCCAGGGATTCTCAGGGGCTTCACATGGCTCTGTGCTTGGGGGTAGCTCCTGGCGGTGCTCTGTGACCCATGTGATGTCAGATATGGAACCTGGATCTCCTGTGTGCAATGCAGGCACTCGGTCTATGGAGCCTGTCTGGCCTGACAAGAATATTTATAGTGGAGGGCTGGAGTGATAGTACAGTGGGTAAGGTGTTTGCCTGGCATCTGGTCAACCCGGGTTCGATCCCTGGCATCCCATACGGTCCCCCAAGCACCACCAGAGAAAATTCCTGAGTGCAGAGCCAGGAGTAACCCCTGAGCATCGCCAGGTGGACCCAAAAAGCAAAAAAAAAAAAAAGAAAAGAAAAGAAAAGAAAAAGAATATAGTAAGGATTTTGGGGCACCCCAAGGGCTGGAGATGAAGGTCAGCCATGCCTCTGGGTGTCTCCCCTTGGGGGAGGTTCTGGAGGCCCCTCATATCCGCTGTCCTGGCTCAGTGCTGGAGGAGTTCTATGCTGTTCCCAGGACCGCGAGGGCTGAACACACCAGACAGCCCACACTGGTGTCTCCTGGCCTCTGCCCTTCGTTGATTTGTTCAGATCCTCTCACTGTGACACGCTCCATTTCTGAGTCTAACGGCTGGGCTCCTTCAGGAAATCACTGAAGCTGAGGGTGGTCTGAACCCGCCCCTTCCAACAACTACATTTACAGACCCACGGCCTGACCCTGTGGGATGAACCTCATTAGGGTTCCGTTGCTTTAGACTTCGGGGTCCCCTCACCAGGGAAATTTCAGAGGGGCACCTTTAGGGAGTGCTTTAGCCATTCCCCCCAAGTCCATCCCCAGAGTTTGGGGGTCAGGAAGCTGTGAACTCCAAAGGATCCTGGGTGCTGCTTTATACAGTCACCCTGAACAGTCCCCCTGGGTCCTGGGCTTTATGGTACAGTTCTGAGCTGTCTGGTGGGACACACCTGGAGCTGACATGAATGGCAAAGCTTCTGGGGCAGAAGCTCTGGCATCCTCTTTAAAAAACAAAAACAAAAACAACCAAACAAGGGGCCCTGAGCCGTAGTACAGCGAGCGGGGAGGGTATTTGCCTTGCATGCAGCCAAGTCAGGTTTGATCCCAGCATCCCACAGCACTGCCAGGAGTAATTCCTGAGTGCAGAGCCAGGAGTAACCCCTGAGCATTGAGGGTGTGAACCCCCCTCCCACACACACACACAGGAGAATGGGGTGGGGGGGGGACAAACCAACAAAACACCAATCCATAACCCTCGCCAAACCAAAAAAAAAAAATACATAATGGGGCTGGAGCAATAGCACAGCAGGTAGGGTGTTTGCCTTGCAGGCGGCTGACCCGGGTTCGATTCCCAGCATCCCATATGGTCCCCCGAGCACCGGGAGTAATTCCTGAGTGTATAAGCCAGGAGTAACCCCTGTGCATTGCCAGGTGTAACCCCCCCCCAAAAAAAACCCCAAAAATCACTCAGGCCCCTCGCCCCTATAATCCCCCCCTCACTGGGAGTCACACCTAGCAAGGCTCAGGGCTTACTCCTGGCTTTGTGCTCAGGGGTCACTCCTGGCTGTGCTCAGGAGACCATCTGTGGTGCCGGGGATGAGCCAGGGTTGGCCACGTGTAAAGCCACCTTCCCCTCTGTACTGTCTCCAGCCCTGAAACCTACCTGCTTTAGGTGAGCAAACAGCACCCCTCTGTCCCCACGCAGTGGCGTCTAAGGTTACCAATTGTCTCAGGAGGTGACCTGAAGCTGTGGGTGGTTCCAGTGGCCCTCTGGGGGCTGGTAGCGCCCGATCTGTTCACCTAACGTCCCTGCTTCCGGTAGCCAGGTCTGCCCATTAAACCACTCACCTGAATCCGGGGACGCCAGGGTCAGTGAGATTCAGTGTGTCCAACTGCTGGATGCTGCCCTCCTGGAGGCACCCTCGGGGTAGCAGCCATGTTCCACAGAGAGTGTGTACCCCTCCCCACCTCCCATCCTCCCCTGTAAGACCAGGGAGCTCCGTAGCGCCCGCTGATAATGTGGCTTTATTCACAGACTCAGCACTTGCTAAAGATGAAGGAATGCACATCTGGGGGCAGGCTGGGCCTAGAGATCGGGGTGGCTGGAGGCCATGCTTGGGTGGGACTGGGGAGCTCCCGGGAGAGAAGCTGCGGACTGGGCCAGACCTGTATGGGGCGGGAGGTGGGGGGCCAGAGGCGGGCAGCATGCTGGGGGCAGGGGGAGGCCTGGCTGGACCTGCCATCAGCAGGGGTTCAGCAGGTCTCTCCCGGGGTGGCTGCGAGCCAGCGAGGGAGGGGCTGAGGGGTTCTCTGGGGCAGGTGGGTCTTGGGAGGTGGGGTGGGTGCAGACAGCAGGGCCCTCTGCCCCTCGATGCCAGGAAAATGGCAGTGGGGGGACGATCCGGACTGCTGGTGCCTGGTCCTGCTGCTGCCTCAGGACTTCTGTGTGAGTAGCCAAATGGGTCCCCTCTGGCGTTGATGCTCGGACACTGGCCTGGGGGTGGGAGGGTGGTCCCACAGAGGGATGCCCTGGGGGCAATCTGGGGAGTGAACCCAGAGGCCGGTGGAGGGAGGGGATCCTTCTCCCAGAGATGCCACCCCTTAGGCAAGCTTTTCTTGACACTCTTCATCCCCCCACGCCCCCTGCCGGACCCCAGGCCATGCCAGCTCCCACCAGGTCCTGGCCAGAAGGCCTGCCAAAGGGAACCAGCTTTCTCCCCCACCACCCCCACCCACCCCCTCCTGCGGCTCTGACCTGCTGGCTGACTTCCTGCCTGAAGGCAAACACCACAGGGATCCTCCCCTTGGGGCCCCCTCTCCCCCACTGGCCTTCTTCCTGGTGAAGAGCCCATTCCCAACCCGTCGGGAACAGAGAAACCAGTTTCCCGGGTTCTGCGCCCTGCCTGGGCATCGCCAAGTCCGGAACACTGGCAGGTTGTCTCTGGGCGGTCCAAGAAGGTGTGACCCGGGAGGGGCCTGAGCGGGAGGGCCCCCTCCTGCCCCCCCCCCCCACCCCGGGAGGGGGGTGCTGAGGTCACTGCCCCTGCCCACTTCCTACCGGGCTGTCATCGGGGCTGTTCCCGGGGGAATGGGGGGGGCGGGCCGCGGGTGGACGGGGTGCAGGCGAGGGGGGCCATCAGCACTGGCGGGAGGGGGTGCGGTGCACAGAGCCGGGGCGCTTGGGGATCTTGCGCCAGCGTCGCTTGTCCCAGCGGCAGAGCAGCAGCAGGCGGAAGGTGTCCCGGAAGGCCTTGTTGCAGAGCGCGTAGCACATGGGGTTGATGGTGCTGTTCACGTAGCAGAGCCAGTAGCCCAGCTCCCACAGGGTCTCGGGGACGCAGTCCTTGCAGAAGGTGGACACCAGCACCATGATGTTGTATGGGGTCCAGGTGAGGATGAAGGCCAGCAGGATGGCGCTCAGGGTCCGCGCCGCCTTCTTCTCCTTGACCAGGGAGAAGGTCTTCCGCTTGGCCAGCTGCTCTTTCCCGCGGGGTTTCTGGCCGCCCTTGCCCGCTCGCTCGCGCCCCTTCCGGGTGGGCCGCTTGACTGTATTGGGGGAGCTCCGGGGGGGCTGCTTGGCGGGGGCCTGCGCCTCGGGGTCCACCATGGGCATCTTGATCACCACCTCCGAGCCGGGCTCCTCGCCCTCAGAGGACGTGAGGGACTCCATGGAGCCCTCTTCCTCCTCCTCTTCCTCCTTCCAGCTGTAGGCCTGCAGGAGCCTGGGCGCCCGGCAGCACCGACAGCAGCGCCCCGGGGGGCTCTCGGGGGAGCCCTCGGCTCCCGGCTGGGACCGCTCCGAGCTGCTGCTGCTGCCTCCCCCCTTCCCCGGGGTCTCGGAGCCCTGCAGGGCCGCCAGCTCCCGGGCCCGGTTCTCCGTCTCCTGGTAGATGCGCCAGTAGAGAGTACACATGACGGTGACCGGGAGGTAGAAGGCGGCCATGGCCGTGCCGAAGGTGATGATGGGCTGGGAGAGGAACTGAATGTAGCACTGTCCAGCCAGGACAGTCCGCTCCCCGACCAGGTACTGCCAGAAGAGAATGGCCGGTGCCCAGAGGATGAAGGAGACCAGCCAGGCCAGGCCGATCATCAGGGCCGCCCTGCGGGGCGTGCGCTTGGCCCGGTAGCTCAAGGGCCGGGTCACGGAGAAGTAGCGGTCGAAGCTGATGAGCAGAAGGTTCATGACGGACGCGTTGCTGGCCACGTAGTCCAGGGCCAGCCAGAGATCGCAGGCCAGTGTGCCCAGGGCCCAGTGGCCCATGAGCAGATACGTGGTGTAGAGGTTCATGGAGAAAGTGCCGATGATGAGGTCGGCGCAGGCCAGGCTCAGCAGGAAGTAGTTGTTGACTGTCTTGAGCTCCGTGTTGACCTTGAAGGAGATCAGGACCAGCAGGTTACCTGTGACTGTGGCGAGGGACAGGAGGCCTGTGGTGATCCCGATGAAGGCCATCTGCCAGGGCCCCTTGCCCGGTGCTAAGATGGTGATGTTGGGGCTGACGGCGGGTGGGGCCGAGGTATTCATGGTGGAGCGAGGGCTGGACAGCCCGTTCCGGGAGGCTTTTTCAGCGGAGGCTCATCACCTAGAAGGAGAAGACACGGGCGTGAGCTGGGATGTGGGAGCTCTGATAGCCCCGGGTGGGCAGTGCTGGTCTGAGCGAGCTTTGTCAGTAGTCAGAGGCTGGGGATGTGGCCCTCAAGTGCTGGAGCACATGCCTGGCACACATGAGGTCGGAACACACATGAGGTCCGCATCTCTCTGTCTCTGAACTGATCCAAAACAGTTTTCAACCCTCCAGGGAACTCTCTGCCCCTACCTCCAGCCATGCCCTGGCCCTGTGGTCACACGCAGTCATTGTAATACACGTTCCCAGCTGAAAACGGACGTGGGGCAGGGCGACTGAGTGGGGGGCGGAGCTTCAGAATCCAGGACTCGGAGTCTTCGTTCCAGGTGGAAGCTGAGCCTCAGTTCTCTCCCGGGAAACTGCTTCTCATTCCGGTCTCGCTTACCTCACGAGACAGGAGCCGGGAGCCTGGCTGTGCATTGCACTACTGCCAAATTTTCAAAGCATTTCACTCAATCGCATTAAAGCTTTCATTTACTGAGTCGTTCCGGCACGCCAGACGCAGTGCTCTGCTCTTAATTGAATTAGCTGATGTAGCTGTCGTACATCTCTGGGAGGAAGGGCAGAACTTGGCGGCCCTGCCAGGTGACCGCCACTCCCAGCTCTGGTCACAGTGAGCGAGCAGACAACCCACTCCCGTCTCTCTCTGACCCTTGCACTTCTCTGGCTTTTTACAGCCAAGGAGAGAGGGAAAGGCAGGGAGGGCTCTGGAGAAGACAACGGGAAAGGAGGTGTGTGTGTGTATGTGTGAATGTGTGTAAGTATGGTGTGTGTGAGAGTGCATGTGTGTGCATGTATGAGTTTGTGAGTATGAGTGCTGTGTGTGTGCATGTGCGTGTGGTGTGAGTGCGAGTACATGTGTGTGTGTGTGTGAGTGCATGTGTGAGTATGTGTGCGTGTGTGTATGTGTGTGAGTGCGAGTGCATTGTGAGTGTGTGTATGTGTGTAAATGTGTATATAAGTGTGTGCATGGGTGTGAGTGTGGTCTGTGTGAGAGTGCATGTGTGAGTGTGTGTGGTGTGTGTGAGTGCATGTGCATGGGGTTGTGTGACTGCATGTGTGAGTGTGTGCATGTGTGAGTGTGTGTACATGTGTGTGAGTGTGTGCATGTGTGTAAAGGTGTGTATAAGTGTGTTCATGTGTATGAGTGTGATCTGTGTGAGAGTGCATGTGTGTGCATGTCTGAGTGTGTGTACATGTGTGTGAGTGCAAGTGCATGTGTTTGTGCGTGTGTGAGTGTGTGTGTGTGTGTGCGTGTTTCTCTGGAAATGTGTGAGAGGGAGGGAGGACCCTACTCTCTCACATATACATCCAGAGGGCAGCAAGGAAGGTGCAAGGCCTGAACACTTGTTGGGTGGGCAGAAGGCCTGGAACAAAAGCCAGCAGTGAGGACGAGTGCCTCAGCTCCCGGAGAAGTGGGGGTCTGGCCCCAGATGGGGTGTAGGAGGCCTCCTCCAGCTCCCCACTCTGTTCCCAGGTCCCAGCTGAGTGGGGGGCAGCCAGGGGAACGGGAGGATCCCCCAGATTTCTCTTGTAGCTGGAGTCTAGCCCAGGCACTAGAGCCAGGAGACTTCCCAGAAGCCCACGGGCTGGGCCTGAGACTCCTACGGTCAAGTGGAAGGTGGAGCTGGGTGGAAGGACACGCAAGATGGAGGCCGGGGGGCCAGGGCCCATATCCTGGGTGTTCTGGCTCATTCTTTCCTGTTCTGGGCCCCAGAGAGCCATGCTTCCTGCAGACCCTGGGGTTTCCTGTGTGTGTGTGTGTGTGTGTGTGTGTGTGTGTGTGTGTGTGTGTGGTTTTGGGGCTCTGCTGTTGAGACAGTTCTGGGGTAGACACTCCTATGCGCCCCCATCCGCAGCCCTCATGTTCTTGGGGACTTGGCCTGTGACAGAGAGATGAGAGTTGGCCCCTGTGAAGTTTGCTGAGTCTGTAAGATGGCCTTGGGGTGTGTGGCTGGGGGTGGGGAGTGAGTGTGGAGACCCCCCCCCCCCCCCACGCTCCAGCCAGGCTGTCTTGTTTGCTGGTGTGCGGTCTCCACTGCGGGTCACTGCTCTGGGCCGTGGTTTTCTCAACAGGAAAAATGGGGACAATACTAACCACCTCTGGCAAAGATATAAAAGAGCCAAGTGAGGCTAAAACGCATGAGTCGAGGCAAAGCTCTTAGAACAGTCTCGGCACGTGGCAAACAGTAGAAGTTTATGCACGTATGCATGTATGTATGTAGGTAGGTAGGCAGGTATTTATGCTTGATTTTTGGGCCACACCCGGCATGCTCAGGGGTTACCTCTGGTCCTGTGCTCAGGAATTACTCCTGGTGGGCTCGAGGACCGTGTGGGAAGCCAGAGATGGAACCCAGGTTGGCTAAGTGCGATTGCTCAGCCCTACACACTAGGCGTCCGAACTTGGTGCGGGCCCCCTGCGGCCTAGAAGTGTCAGCATCTTTGATGAAAAACCTCTAATAGAGGTCAGGGATGACGTTCAGCCACAGAGCATGGGCTTCGCAGGCACAAGGCTTGATCCCTGGCAGCACCCACACAATTGTTTCCTACTCCTATGCCACCCCCAAGTAATAACAATAATGGTCACTGTTGTTTAGCACTTCCCGAGTGCCAGTTGTGGCTCAGATTTTGGATTTGGCCCAGGGGCTCAGGGGCTTTTCCTGGCTCTGATGCTCAGGAGTCCCTTCCTGGCAGCGCTTGTGGGGGACCCCATACGGTGCCAAGTGGCCAGGACAGCTGCATACAAGGCAAGTTCTTTACGTCCTGGATAATCTCCAATTGTCCATTCATTGAAATTTGGGGAGCGGAAGCACCAGGCAGTGCTCAGGACTTACTCCTGGCTCTGCTGGAGTATCACTCCTGGCAGAGCTTGGAGGCTTATATAAGGGTGCCAGGAATCGTACCTGGGTTGGTCACGTGCAAGGCAAGTGCCTTACCCACTGTGCTAGTTCTCTGGCCGCCCTTGATTGGATTTAATTTATTTATTTACTCATTTTTTTTTGGGGGGGGGCGTGTGGGCCACACCTGGCTGTGCTCAGGGCTTACTTTTGGCTCTGTGTTCAGGGGACCTGGTTCAGCCGTGGGCAAGGCAAGAGCCCTACCCGCTGTACTATCACTCTGACCCCACTTGCTAGATTTGAATAGGGAAGTTATGCCCTAAGATTTGCTCTTCTCTTCATTTTGCAGATGAAGAAATGGAGGCTGGAGAAAGGAAGGACTTGGCACTCGATCTCCCAAGCAAGAGAGGCACCAGCAATGGCATCTAAGCAGCTTGTCTCTCCAGGAAGCTTCCTTTACAGATGCTGACAGGCCACTTACAACGCTGACACTGAGCCTGGTGCCTCCTCCTCCCCTAACTGAAGCCAGGTGCTGCGAGGTGGGTGGTCAGACTGTGTCCGCAGGGCGCCCTTCCTGGCCCTGGGGCAGCTGGTGGACACACAGTCCTCCCACATTCTTTTTATTATTTTATTTTTCGGGGGGGAGGAGGGTGGGTTTGGGTCACACCTGGTAGTGCTCAAGGCTTCTTCCTGGCTCTGGACTGAGGGAGTCACGCTTGGAGGGGTCGGGGAACCATATGGGGTGCCCTGGATTGAACCTGGGTCAGTTATGTGCAAGGCAAGTGCCCTCTCTGCTGTGCTATCTCTCCAGCCCACCCTGCCCAGATTTTTTTTTTCTTTTTGGGTCACACCCAGCATTGCTCAGGGGTCACTCCTGGCTCGGCACTCAGGAATCAGTCCTGGCAATGCTTGGGGGACCATATGGGATGCCGGGACAGAACCCTGGTTGGCCGTGTGCAGGGCAAATGCCCTCCCCGCTGTGCTATCTCACCAGTGCGCCCCCCCCCCCCCGCCCTGTTCTTGACCCTTTGATCTGATCTGTGCTTTTTTTTTTTTTTTTTTTTTGCTTGTTGGGTCACACCTGGCAATGCACAGGGGTTACTCCTGGCTATGCATTCAGGAATTACTCCTGGCAGTGCTCAGGGGACCATATGGGATGCAGGGCAAACGCCCTACCCGCTGTGCTATCACTCCAGCCCCTGGTCTGTGCTATTTAGCGTCCAGGGTTCCATGCTGGATCCATGGAGGCCTAGGCTGGGAACTGTGCCACTTCCTGCCACCCCAATTTCTAAGGGGGGGGGTGCAAGCAGAAGCCCTGTGACTCCATGGAATTAGGGCAGGACCAGAAAGGTGGAGTCAGTGGAGAGAGAAGCCTGCTGGCAGAGAAGCCGCACCCTCCCTGCATGTCCCTGGGTGGGGTGCAGCCTGCCCTGCCCATCCCGCTGACCCCTCATTATCCCAGGTCCTGACACCAATGCAGAGGGAGAATTTTGGGCAGGTGAACCATGCCCTAGCGTCGGGTATTAAGTTTGAGGTACCCCCAAAGGTAGTAATCCAGAGAAAAGCATATGTATGGAATATATATATATAGGGTGGGCCACATTCAGTGATGCTCAGGGTTTACTCCTTGCTCTGGGCTCAGGGATCACTCCTGGAGGTGCTTGGGGGACCATCTGGGGTGCCAGGTGTCAAATCCAGGTTGACAGTGTGCAAGGCAAGTGCCTTAATCCCCGGACTATCTCACTGGCATCCCGAGAGGAATATTTTGGTGTGGTTCTTCAACAAATGGAAACGCATGCCAAAAATCCCGCAGGAACAGAATTTTCAACAAATACAGACTCCAGCCCTCCACTTGCACAAACACCTGATCACCAGCGCTTTCCCTTTCCTCCTGACCCTCGCTCCAAAGAAACTTTCTTTGCAAAAACAGCCTGCGGGCTGGGCTTTGCTCTTTGATTTTTCCCAAAATGTTGTATTACAATATTATTTATTTGGATGGGTGATTGTTTTTCCCCCATCCCTTAAATTCTGCTCACTTTGATTCCAGTGTGGTGGAAACCACAGCCCTGGGGT